AGCTGCCAGATTTCAACTTTTGCGAAAACCTGCCACCTGACAGGTTGAGATCATTATAACAATTTGTACTTTTAGTTGGGTTGTAAATTTAATAAAAAACAAAATCCAGTTAAAAATGCTTCACCTAGCTTTTTCCAATAGTTTCCAACTGTTCACAGGAACTACATTATCAAATCCATGCACTTAAAATGTCCCCATTAACATATCATCAATATTCATATATGCTTCCAAAGTACATGATCTTTTACTACTATCCAACATAAGTGTCATTAAAGATTTAAAAAACAAACACACACAGAGTATTCTTTTTCAGGAAAGCCAAATCATTGTAGGCTCTGTTGCTAACACTTAACCCCCAAAGAATATTCTTGGTAATACCAGGTCTCCAACCACCCACTTTCAGGCTTCCAATATCCTGTTTAACACCCTCTGTTTCAAAGAACAACCAGCATTTACTACCTCCCTTCTTTCATGAAAGGCCAAAAAACGTTTTTTATCTAAACCTCAATATTCCCTTCTAACTGCAAACTAAACAGAAGTACCATAAGCATTATTCTACACAACATAGGGGGTTTTTTTGTTTGTTTGTTTTTTACTAAACTCTAAAAGATAAAATCCCTTTTAATGTCGATCTCTTTAGATATTTCCTATTTAAAGAAGAAAGGGTCAGAAGACCCGATGAGCTATTAGGATGTGACTGATGGTATTCCGTATCTTAGGTAAAAAGAATAGTGGACCTGCTGCCTGAAACCCACACAGTGGCTGGCCTCTTAGAAGAATGAAACAGATTTGCTGTAACCTAAGGAAAATGAAGGGCTCTTCAGATCCCTGGAGGACAAAGCACCGTGTGCTTTATCAAGGAAGAAAATCAAACCTTTTGTTTGTTTACTTCCTTGTATACATCTTTATAAATATTTTATTAACAACATACCCATGCCATATTTACTGAAATTGGGATTATTGTTCCTGTCAATTTATTTATTTTTACAATGAAAAGAATGTTTTCATGCTACTAAGAAAAGATATGTTTTTCACACTATTTTTAGCTTAATTATCCGAAAGTGCCCACACTTCTTCTATGGAAGCTTAAGGCTACTAGGTAAAATTCAAATGTCATTTTATAATAAGAAAAAATGGTTTGGATAAAAACCCCACTTTGCTAATACAGATCACTCACTCATATACTCCTCTAGTATCAGAAGCTTTGGAGAACATGGGCTCTCTACTGCTATCACATCAACACCTTGGAAAAAAAGCCCTTCAGCAACAAAAAAAGAGTCTGATACTAGAGGAAGAATGTGTTTAAAAGTTTTTACATAGGGGCAGCTGAGTGGCTCAGTGGGTTGTCTCTGCCTTCAGCTTGGGTCATGATCTCAGGGTCCTGGGATTGAGCCCCACATTGGGGGCTCTGCTCAGCTGGGGGCCTGCCCGCCCCCCCCACCTCCGCCTACTTGTGATCCCTCTGTCAAATAAATAAATGAAAAATTTAAAATAAAAAAAAAGATTTTACATAAAATCTATTAGGAAAATACTGAACAAGACATAATAAATATTCTGAAAAGATCCTCATCTAATAGGGGAGTCAAGACAGCTATAAAAATAAGTGTAATAAGATAAACAGTAATGGCACAAGCAATGAAAATATATGAAAAGATCCAACAAAAAAGTATATTAAATAATATTTGGGGAGTTATCTTAAAATAGCAATTGAGATATACTCAATGTTTTTAAGATAAAGAGCTAATAAGTTATAGCTTTTTTTGGGGGGGGGACTCTCCACAGTGTATTTTGCTTAAATGCTGGCTTCATTTCATATCAATAATAGAGGTAGGAAAAAATACAGAATGTGCTTGAATTTTAAGTAATACTATTCCCAGGAGATAGAGTTCTTCAAGCTACTTTTAATATCTGCTATATGCTAAGATTTGCTAAAAATTATAGCATAAGGAGTATGTAAGCTAAAGTGTCTCAATGTGGGAAAAGCTGTATGATTAAGAAGCATAGCAATCAGTAGACATTATTAAGAAAGATCTGTTCTAAGCTTGGATCAGAGTAAATTAAGTGATAAGTAAATATCACTGGCCATGGCCCCAAGACAACAAGAGGACAAATATTAATTTATCAGTTATTTGCTTTACTGTGGATCATCTGAAGATCTAAGTCAGCTGGAACATAACTGCTTTAGTTACTGAAGATCATCAAGAATTTGATGACATGCAAATACAGAGAGACACCAGCTCAAACAACGGTGAGTGGACAACTTACTGAGAGGTCACTTTATAAATCAAGCATAAAGACATTGGAAATATCTTGATTTCTTGTGACAGAAATTTAACCATGTAACAAATATGCTAAAGAAAATATCACACGTAAAGAAATTATTATAAAACCTAACTCAATAAAATCAAAATGATTAAAAAATAATTATTAGAGAAGCTTCCTTCTTCACAGTCACATATACTCTAAAGAATAATCATACATTAGTATCACTATACCACATTTTCTAGAATGTAAAGGTAACACCCACAGTTTCCTTACTCCAAGATAAAAACTAGAGGTTACAAATATGATGGATTATCTTTAAGTAAGAAGACAAAATTTACATTATTGACACTTGAATTAAAAAATGCAGCATAACTCTACAAACTACCCAACAGGAAATTCAGATATGATACAGTTTTATGGTATCTTAGCCATATCTTTATCTCCAACTTAGCCAAGTTGGAGAACTAAAATATTTAATAGAAGTAACACTAAAAACATCCGGACACTAGAGTCAAGTAGAATACCAACAAATGTCCCCCGCAAACTGTGATGACCTTGTCTATAACACCAAACACATCGATGCAGCATCCACATAGCTCAAAATGTATCAGTAAACCCTGTACAGAACTTTCTACACAAATGAAGCCTGTTGAAAGAAAAGCGTCTTGCTAAAATTCATGTAAATAAAGCCAATTTTCACCTTCACAGATTAGCAACAGGGACAGCCAGATCGGTTTGTTCTTTGCTCAGTAACTGGTATGTCCATATACTCACCCCCAAACCTGGAAATTTTGCTCTCTAAAAAAATATTGAAATGTTCCTGAGTCAATCAGCATCTTATTTACCTGCGAGAGCTACAAAAACAGAAAGAAAACACCAACTGGGGCATTTTTTTTTTTTTATTAGCTCCTAAGAAAATTTATGTGATGAACAACTTTCGATCCTCTGGGGAATTAGGCATGGTAAAGAGTAAGGAAGAAAGCAAGCCATTACATGTACACAAACACAACAATTCAGAAAAACATAAACTATTGATGAATATATCAGCTCACTTCCTAAGATGCTTTTAGCCCCCTTTTCATAATTAACTTAAAAAGCACCATCCCAGAGCAGAACTCTTCAGTTTTCTGGGACAACCGTATTTCACTCCTTCCCTAACTGTGCCGTAGCTAGCTGAGTATCAACCGCCCATTTCAGGGCCTGAGAAGAAGGAGAGCCTAGTGAGGGACTCCAAAGGTCAAGTGCACATGAGGAAAGCAGCACACCACAAACTGTTCTGAGGCTACATAAAAAAGTCTACCAGTTTATAACAAATGTTTCCACATGTGTAACAGTCCACTTCACCAGCCAAAGGCACATCTACAAAGTTGGGTTACTCTGAGAACAACAGAAATCTGGTAGGGAAAAAAAGTGGAATTCATTGTCCATCTGCTTCCCGCGAGTCCATTTAAATTTCCTAAAACCATAAGCCAATTTCCAAATACTTGGCAAATGTTACACATATCAACAGTGCTCACCTGCACGCTGTGCGTGTGCACGCACACACACACACACACACACACTACACGCTTACCAAGCTATGAATTGTGTGCTAAAGAAAAAAGAGCACAAAACGCAGAATCCATCACCTCTTTCATTCCTTCAAAAATCAAGTAACTAGATAATAAATACTCCAAGGTGACTACAAAATACCGCAATAAATTCACTCACCACAGAAATAAAAGCTAAAAAATCAGGATGTCAAAAACATGTGCATCAGCTTCGAAGATACTAGACACCCTGTAACCATGACTTACCTTCTTCTCTAAGGCTACACATAACTTAAACACAGGTTCTCTGTGCATGCCAATTGTCATGTAGCACATTCATTACAAATGCTGGTTCTCACATGTTTAGCAGTAATATAATAAAACTTAATGTAAAATATTTCAAACTCGAATTAAAATCATTGTCTAGCTTGAACTCCCATCTTAAATGAAAATAAAGATTAAGGAATAAGAATAATAATTCTTCAAATCAAAAACATTTTAACAAGAAAATAAATACAAAAATTTATTTGCACAAATGTATTCTTTTAGTTTATAAGGAAAGCCTCATTTTAATTAGGCTGCTCATTAAAAAAACAGATGAACTATATTTACGGGCCTCAACATGATTTCCTAGAATGTAGCCACTACTCTAATCAATATATACCCCAATCACCACACAGTATTTGCTGGTGAAAATGCTTAAAAGACGCTTTTGCCAAATTTAAATGAAAATACTTTCTTTTAGTTGGAAAAGGACTGGGTGATTTCTCATGACATAAAGTCCCACAAGATGGTTTGTCTCATTCACCGGATGCTTTATCTCATTCATCATTGATATCCTTTGCCAAGTGGGAATTTCATTCCACTTAACTCTTACATTGGACACCACTGTTCCATATCACTACCAAGGAAGCAAAAGGCTAAGCAAAGCACAATTGTACAACAGAAACACATTTTGCCACAAAACCCATCCGCTGAATATGCCTTCCAACTGGACTAAGAGATACCTACAAATGAAAGAGACTTATCCAAGACCACACAGCTCTTGAGAAGAAAGCCCTAAAAAAGTTAATAAATCACAAATATATCTGAAATCTAGAAACTTCTCCCCCAAGATTTAATATAAAGTAGAACAAACAAAAACAAGAGTTCTTTTAAAAAATTTTTGACTCATTACATTTCCAAATCAGCACATTAATGTCTTACTGGTAAACTTGACGGTCTTTCTTGTTGTATCAAGTTCAAGTCTTCATGGTTAGGTTTTCCAGGAGCCAAAGGAGGTTGCGACCTAGTTCCATAGCCTTCCTGAGACATGTCCTGAACAAACACAAATATAAAGCACTTCATAAATATCTCATTGAGTTGTAACCAAAACAAAAGAAAGGGTAATCACAAACTGTCAACTGGTATTACACTTAAGCAGACATATACATGTTATACTTATCATTTAACACTTTATGGAGAGTAGAAACAAAAGACAAATCTGTGAATCAAGAGTAAAAACACATATTTTTTATTTTGAATATATATATGTACACACACACCAACTAAATTTATTATGAGGTCATACAAACTAAACACTGTATTTGAGTTTTGCAGGAAGGTAACAATCAGTAAAAGATGGGGAAGGAGGTCAGCTATGATCAAACTCTCTTTTAAACCAGAGCAAACCCACTAGTGTTACTGCTTAATTCTGATTTTGGTTGAGCTGCCTTTAATATTACCTTGAAAAATGTTAAAATAATTAATGAAAACTTTATTAACAACTGACTTTTAGTATGTCCTCTCGATAACCCACAAAACAACATAGTTACTAAGCTCACAGTATCCTGGGGTTTCTACAAAACCAATAAACATTCATGTATAGAATTCCATATGTTCACGTGGCACAGCTTCCAGAGAACCACAATAAAGAATAAAACAGCAGTAGGGAAACAAAACACGCCCCAAAAAACCTGCTGAGGTATGAGAAACTTATCATTAACATGGTCTTTCTGGAATCCTGTTGAACACTTTTCCAGGAGGTATTCTGCATGGTTTCAGTATTCTGCTGAAATACTATTATATAAACCGAATACCACACCAAACCAAACTTACTATGTACCCCATCTCTAGCTGTTTAACTATGTACGCTCAGCTACTAAACATTCTACCACCATTTACACCCAAAGTCAAACAGCAGGACAGAATATAAAATACTTATTATAGCATGTCTTAATTGGCACTGAAAGTTGAAGAACCAGTTTCTGAGTGGAGAGAAAAAAAGAATAGAAAGTATCACTTAAAAACAGAATTCTCTCCCTTGCTCCATCAGTGTTAGTATTAAGGAAACATTATATACAGGTTCTACTTCTGTTAAATTCCCAAAATCTTACTTTAAAAATTAATGTTTATTAGTTGAAGCCCTATAAAAAGTTTCTGCTGACCCACCCCTTTCTCACACAGTATACACTTAAAATTACATGGCTTCTTAAGCCAAAAACTTTGGACCAATAGCTAGACCTACAAAGCACACAAACTGTACAAACTAGGTTTAACCAGGCAAGTGCTGATTTTAAACAGGCTCTGTAAGAAAGCATGCCAACAATACTGCATTTCCCAAGCAACCCTTCCACCCTTTAAATAAAGCTACACACACACACACACACACACACACACACACAATCCATCAAAATATCTAACCTCTAAAAGGAATGCACAATGCCCAGTCAGTACTATGCTTTTGTAAGCACGTTTTAATCTGGTAACAGTTAGGTGAGGCCTCAGAGAGCACGTGCAATCCAGGACACCCAAAAGGGTAGTTCTTCAATCTGGCTGCCAGCCGAGGGTAACAATTAGGCTGTGGGGGACCAAAGCTGAGGCTAAAAGATTATTACCACTCTCACTGCACCCCCCCTGCCCCCAGCACCGAAGCTTCCGGATCCCAGACCTCCACTTGTCACACAGACTTCCTGCTGGGTGCCCCGCAGGTTCCTTTAGATTAACAGTGAGGATTTCAAATCAAGTAGGGCACAAGGCCTCCATTCAGGGCCTTCACCCTGGTACAAAAAAAAGAGAACCCCACAAAGGTGCCGGACAGCCTCACAATGGGCAAACAAATGAGCAGACCCCCGCCAGTTCCTCAAATACACGCGTGTGCGCACACAGAGTTTATGGGCAGGGCTTGGACACTTTTTTTTTTTTTTTTAAGTAAACGTCGGTTAAGAAACAGGAACAGACTCACATGCCCTATGCTTATTAGCCTTTTAAATGTTTTTTATTTTCTCTTTGTAGCTAAATGAACTGATTTTTAAAAGAGTTGAAAGAGACCATTACAACTATAATGAATACACATTTCAATTTAGATACTGTCCCCTCTAAAATAAGCAACGCTGAGCTAATAGACTACGAAAGCTATCAGAACATTTTACTATGGCTTTACATTTCACTTTTTAAGGCTTTAAAAGTTCAAAATAATTAGATTCTACCGAAGTCTCAAACACTACTCCTAACCACAAGAGGCTTTCAATTATTAAATTCAGTTGGAAATAAAACTGAAAGAAAATTTAGTGAGAATTGCTGAAACGGGAACTTGTTCTGCCTCAATTTATGTTGAAACATAAGGATTAATTTAACAGAGAAAACATCCAGAAAAGGTACCAAGTTTTAACCTAAAACAATCATCATCCATATATAATTCACATGGGGGCTATAAAGTCTACATCTGGAGCTTTAATAGAGATAGAAAGGTTATATTCTGTAACAAACCTGAGCTTTTTCCCCTCCAGAGCTGTATTTATTTTCTAGTATGGACTTATTTCCACCTCAAGAAGAGTAGCAGCAATGAGTAATTTAATAGACAGTAAGAGGGCAAGGTCAGTTTCAGAAAATAAAGAGTACGTCCAGCACTGCATTTTATATACAAATGACAAAGACACAGCCTTACATTCTTAACACATCATTGCCATCTTCAGTCATTTACAAGTTCGAGCTAGTGCACACTAGTGCGTACACCAGCTTACACACACTTTATTCCTGCATTCCTCCAATGCACGGATACAGAGCCCTGGCTACTTCAGAGAGGCTCTCACTGTGAGAATTCTGCAACACAAAAGAACCACAAGTGGGGAATGTGGTTTACCCCTTCCCAGTTCTTTATCAATATTCGTTTTCGTCACCTCACCCACAAACTTTGAACCATTGATGGATTCTGGTTTTAACTTCTTTATGTTATGAGTCAAAGGTAAAGGGAGACTGACTCAGAAAACAACAAGGCGTGAAGAGAGCTTGGGCTAGGGGCATGTACACATCTGTGTCCTAAGTTTTCACACAGGTGTTTCTTTTAACAGACAAGGTGAACGTCTCCTGAACCGCCCAGTGTGGAACACTGCTTTTACTGGGTACTTCACAGCTTATAGGGTGAAGCAGGAGCAGGCAGGAAACACTCGTGTCCCACTCATATCCTAAGGAAGGAGAAGACCAAAACTGTCACATGGGGGTCTACTGTCAAGGCCAAGCACCTGAGTACTTCTGCTTTCTTTATGATGAAATGAATTAAGGATGAATGGCAACATAAGACTTTAAAGAAAATGTAGAATAAAATGTCAAGGACACTTTTTTTTTTTTTTAAAGATTTAATTTATTTATTTGTCTGAGAGAGAGACAGAGACAGAGAGAACACAGGCAGGCAGAGTGGCAGGCAGAGCCAGAGGGAGAAGCAGGCTCCCTGCCGAGCAAGGAGCCCGAATTGGGACTCGATCCCCGGATGCTGGGATCATGACCTGAGCCAAAAGCAGCCGCTTAACCTACTGAGCCACCCAGGCATCCCATGTCAAGGACACTTTTTAAGAAAAAATAAAAAGGGAAAATAATCCCATGGGGAGTTCAAGGGATACAAAGCGCCAAACCTTGGAAAGAGCAACATCTCCTTCCCAGGCTGCCCTCCACAAGGGCTGCTGCCCACAAGCTGTTATTGCTCTTTCCACAACTGCCCAATGTGTTACCAAGTATGAGCGTGAATTTCAATCCTTTGTCCTTTAAACACAGTGGGGTGTATGTCCTGTACACGGCGTACTTTTTGGTCCCTTAACAGTATGTTTTGGAGCTCGTTCCATATCTGCACCTAAATGTCCGTTCTCTTCTCACTGCTACGTGGTGCTGCGCTGTCCGTCCTGTGGCCTGTTCCACCAGTCCCCTCCTGAAGGACACTGAGGTTGCTCCCTATCTTTCCCTACCTCATGCTGCACCACGATAAAATCCGGCCCCACAATACAAACCACGGGAAGACCCAGCCGGGCTGGGGCAGGGGGCGGACGCGGGATGAGGATGACGGGTGGTCAAGATCACACCTGGTCCCAGACACACAAGTGGGACTAAGGGGCCAGGGACGGTGAAGTCGAGAAACTAGCAAAAAGCCGTCTAGAACACATGGTGATTTTCTGGTTCCTTAAGAAAGGTTTTCCCAACAATCACATAAAGTAGAGACGCGCTACAAATAGCACACGTATCGCTACTGCAACAGTCCAGACTGACACGACGAGGACCCGAACGGCCTCGTAACACCCTGCGACATCTAGATCAGGATAAACATCTTGCTCCTTTTTTCCCCCTGCTTTGGAAACTCCCATCATCAGTTCTAACGACTAACGGGAAAAGAAGTGGCCCCGGCACAGAAGACACTGTAGTGGGAGGGGACGGGGATGACGTCACGGCCACAGAGAAAATGCCTCACGGCCACACCGGGCTGCCAGTCGTGTGAAATCATTACTCTAATCACGACACTTGGTGTGCTACTGACCCCCTCAGCTTTCGTTTGTAGAAAAATAAATGTAAAATATCCTTCCCCAAAGGAAAGCAATATAAATCTATAAAATATCCACTTCAGAATGGCCCAATCGCTCCCCTGCCTCCTCAGGAACACCCTAATGGAAATGTCATTAACAAAGACAGCGGACACTTGCTGGCAGGGCTCTGTGACGCGCCCCGTGCATGGTCCACCTGTACCACAGCCCCATGAGATAGTCCCTACATCATCCTGCTTTTTACCACAAGGAAGCAAAAGCTTAAATGACGTGCACAGCTCAGGTCTATGCACAGCCAGCATCTCAGTGTGATGGACAAATCTTCAGTTCTATCCTAACTGCTCTGGAGACCACTGGAAGCCTCAAACACTATTACATAACAAGGACTTAATGCAACTTTAATTTTTTAAAGGCATTACCCTACTCTTCCAAATATTCTCCTAAATTCACCTTTCAGAAATTATGAATCTTATGTGTTTTTATACATGGGTTAGCTCAAAAATATTCAGTTACAATATTGTGAATCAGGAAGAGATA